AATGTGTCTGGATAAAAGGTGTGATAGAGATACAGCAGCCTTTTCTGCAGCAGCCTCGTCCAAAACTGTTGGACCTGTTCCTTGGCAATGGCACCTCTCCCATTCCACACATGCTGGATTTCAAAAAAGATGGTAGAGGACATGGTATGACCTCAAGCTGACACAGTAATTTACCCTAATATATAAGACCACATAGCTAATTCTCAGTACATACCTCACAGTTAGGGCACCACTTTTAATGCAGCCATTTTTGTTCTGCAGCCGTATTTGCTCCTATGCATGACATAGGATGACACAAATGTTAAAAGATATACAGTATATCCATACAGAAAGTTGAGGCTGCCACGCTAAAACTCAAAGCTGCCAATGTAAACTATTTATAAGCACGTGTGATGGATTAGCAGCAAGAGAAGCAATGTATAATTTGTCAACATGTTCCTTTAGTGTTCGGTCGTATGAAAGGCAGATATTATCATTGTGTATTTATTGTATTTTGCACCAGAACAAATGACAAATCATTCTTCTCAAACTAGAAGGTATTCAACATGTCTTGGATGTCATTCTCTGATCTGAGATCCAATTTATGAGCCAAATCAAACACACCATCTTGCTGGAGGTGATCCGGGTTGGGTAGAGTGGTGAAAGAGAATTGTTTTCAAATAGCTGCATGTTGGTTTATAGAACCTCGTTTGATGTGAACTTAGAAGATATAATACAGTCTGATGGGTGATGGACTGAAAACCGTGTGGAACTGGACATGTTAGCTCTTTTATGCCCATTCTAATACAAATCAGATGCTGGTAATTTTCATATCATCGCCTAACCTCATGAAATCAAATAGTGGGACATATTGCTAAATCCATCCACTGCTTGAGATGCAATCCCTTCTCTGTTACTTTACCTTCTCACTTTATTCGTCGGATGGTTCGGTTTCTGCCAGATGCCAGCACTTACGCCCTCTGGTGGCTGTTCTAGAGGGGCTCCTCCAAGTAAAACAATCCTTATCACCATTACTGCTCATCCAAACTAATTTACATCCAAATCACTCCATTCCTCTGGGCAGCTGATCCATTTTCCTGAAAAAATGACCCATTTAGATTCTCTTTTTAAGTTTTATGCATAGGATTTTTCTATTCTAAATAAGATTAAAGGATAGTCTGAACCTTAGCTCAGACTACAGGGCAAGAACGATTTAAACGTGTTTTTGTTTCATTAAAGTAACGATCCTCTTATGAAAGGCTGCAGATTTCAAGAGGGCTTTAATAACAGAGAAATGAATGAAAATCACAGTGGTGGGCTCTATCCGTATGACTGAACTTTGTGCCTTTATACCAAGAATCTCAACCTTTACAGGGTTTATCCTTCGCATAGTGAGTGAGGAGATCATGTTGAGCTTTTTGTAGAATGAGATGAATTGAAGACAAACTCATTTCTTAGACTCTAATGTATGTTATCATTATCTAAGGGTAGATTGTAGTAAGACATTCCAGCATTATGACGACAATCTTTCAAAGAGAAAAAGAAAAGCTGCTCGGCCTTCCAAACAGAACAAAGGAAGCACCTCCAATGGACCTCTATTCTGTGGACGGAAGAGCTAATGGAAGCAGAAAACAACTGGTTTCGCTGCAGGCTGCAGCGATGGACTGAGGATGAAGCTTCAGATCCTGTAAAGTGATGTTCCACATGTCCACTCAAGTGGAACGGCCTGTGTGGATTTCAGCAAACAGACACTGTGCGTGACTGAATGCGTATGGAAAGAGGAGGAGCGCCATGAACAGGAATCATTTTTGTCAGCTTAAAGAGAATTAAGAGTTCAAATAAAGCCGCTGAGATCTCTGCATATAAACTGTTTTATGGTTCATTTATTTCTGTTTCACTAAATGCTTCTGCACAAATATGTGTTTTTCAGCCAATTTCCAGAAAATATTTTGTCAGCATATGCCCCCAGTCCATGCATCAAATGATTAGATGCATCCTAATAGCTGAGTTAATGAGGCTGCTGAAAGCCTAAATGTGTCCCTGTGCACAGCTGAATGAACAGCTTTGGAGCATTAAGTGATCATTATCTGGAAGATGACATCACAAAATACTTCTAAAGATCTCTATTTCTCATTTTTTTCTAAAAATACCAATACCACAGGTTGCGTTGGCTTGATATGTTCTATATGGTAACCACTACCACCACCTACTGTTCACATCTCATAAATAGTTGATTTATCCCAATCCAGGAGGTAGAAGGTATGAGTTATAGTGGTAAAAGTATTTTCAAAAACCAAAATCAAGCTTTTTCAGTGTTTGGGCCTGATGCTAAATGTGGAAAGTTTTCAGTGGCAAAACCGCAACAATTTTTTGACATAACTAAGTGACATGTAACATGGGTGGAGCTGGAGGCAATAAATCTTATCTGCTCTTTGCAACAAAAGGCACTTTTTGATGCATTAGTTGTACGAACTACTGAGTGACATATCTTGTTTTCTGCAGTTTAGGTTAAAAATAGCTTAGGAAATGTTCAAACACACTTTATAAAAACCTTATCAATTAATAAATTGGCTGGTTTATCTAAAAAAAAAAGAGAGAAGTTAAATTATTTTAGAAACTTTCCCACCTCTTTTAGTTATGCCTATTTTCTGTTATTCCATACACTAAAAAATCTGACATGGAAAACTGTAAGATAAAAAAATAAAAACTGTTGATAATTTTGCTCTGTGGTCTCCTTTAGCAAAACCGGTTTAAGTTTAAAGATGTTTTTTTTTTCCCTTTACACAATCAAGAACCTAGGTGTTGAGGTGTAAATGATGATGTGCTTTCAAGTTGAGAGAAAAGAAAGGGATCCCTGAGCTAAATCCTTTAATTGTGGTGCAGGAAAGAGATCTGGACTGTTTAAAATCTGCCCTGTTTTTTAGGATTAAAAATATATTTGTAGCAATACATTTTATAAAAGTGCTTTTGTTTAAAAATGCAGGTTGGATCTTTAGTCTAGATTCCAGCTTGCCTCTGCACATGTCAGGATCCAGGTCTTTACAGAAAATGAAGCAAAGTGCTGATACCATTAGTCCAGTTAGCACATCTGCAGCTGTCAGCAATGAGGCCCTTTCCGTGATTAACTGGACACTCTGGAGTGAAGACTAACTCCGTCACCTCATTTAACTTGTCTCTGTCTGTCACTGCTTGCACCCGTTCTCATTAATAATAAGCCAGACTGATCAGCAGGCTTAAAACATTACCTCTGCCTCCTGTAGCTCTTCCAAAATGATCTCCCTCCTTCCTTAGATTGTTTTACTGTTATCTTTGCATCTCTTTTCTTGATTTTTGATTTGACTCTCTCAGCAAAATGTATTTTTTGTTAATTTTGCTTTTGAAAAATTGTGAGTTTTTCTGAAATTTAATGAGGAGTTCTGAGAATTGTGTCCTTGTTCGTAGTTGAATCAATTATTGATAAATGGATAGATAATGGATCCTTCACAGGTCTTGGAAATACCAGAACTAATCTCAATTTTTGAGGCTGCACAAGTGGATTGCTTCTCTTTCAAATTTTAATTTTCTAATCTGTCTTTTTGTCATTTTTTTTGTTTCAGTATCAAACAACATTTATAGAATCAGAGAGAAAAACATGAATTTTAATACAGAACCAAAAGGCATCACAGGAAAAAAAAAAAACATTAAGTTAATTATTACATCCGAAACAGCTGCATCTTCTTGGTCCATCATTTCAGCTGCAGCACCACCTTAAAGACAGAAGAGAAAAGTTCTTGTCAGTCTATCATTTAGTATTAGCAATGAATTTAGAGCGAGAGATTTCACTTTGTATTCCTCAATGAAGATCAAGCGAAACTCTTGCTTGGATAATGTTGCCACCTACTGTCCAAACCGGATCCGTTTGCTCTTACATTTAGAACCAAAAGTAGCTTAATTCACCTAATTTACGAACACACTCCAATAAAGTGATCAGAGTGGTTTGGGATGAAGTGAACCTTTAAGTCCCTCAAAAAATCTCACGACCATTGACATCAGAGTGCCAGTCCTGTATTACTGGATTTTACTGTGTGAAGTCCCTGTCACACCTTGACCATTTATCCAGCGTATGCCTGACGTCCCAGAATCTCCAAAAATGCTGGCATCTGCTAAACGTTCTATGTATTGTTTTCAATTTTGGTCATATACATAGAGTATTCATAGCATGTCCAGTACTTATGTCCTATGACAGCCTAATTTATGCATAACGCATGGCAGCGTAATGCCCATGAAATGTCACAAGCCAGTGTCCTAAGGGGAGCAGCGATGCACCCAGAGGCGCCTGGTCGTATAAAAAGATTTATTTGATCGCCGTAATAACCTACCTGCTGTTTACCGCCTGGCAAAAAAAAAAAAAAAAGAATACATAAAAAGAAAAATAAAGAAAGAAGGTTTGCATTTGCAGCAGATTCTGCATCATGTCTGCTAGGAATTGACTATGGTGCATCTGGGCGTGAACGCAGGGAGGATTCATCACACACAACTTCTCACTCACCCAATGATGGAGATTTAGTATAGAGGAGAACTGACTTATACAGTAGCTGTAAGTTAGAAACACGTTCAGCGGTCGCCTGGAACACGTCAAATACGTTGATATGCGTTGAAGATAAGTTACGCACAAGTTACTAATAGGTTTTGGATAAGCTAGATGCCACAACTTAAGGGGGAACTCTGTTTTTTTTTACATTGGCCCCTTAATTTTCCGTTATTACATCATGTTCTACTCACCCATATTAGTTTTGTGTCATTTGGAGCCGTTCTGAAGATATTCGGTTTGGTAATCAAGTAACGTCTTCCTATGCGCAACGAGTTAAAGGCACAAACTAAACTGTTCATAATTTATTCTTTATGGTACGCCAGCATTCATAACATGTAGGCGAATCACTGTCCCCCAGACATCCTGGGTTATATTTTTTATATTTACATTTTTTTTAAACAAAGCGGAGTGTAAGAGTAACTTACACTTTCCCCACTTTCCTTGATGGGTCCTTGGCTGGTCCCCTCAAATTCCTTTTTAAACATCAAGCTTTGTACTAAAATATTCTGTCATGATTTGTGGACATTAAGATCTAAAGAGAAGCACCATTTCCTGGTCAGACCCTGTAATTTAGTGAAAGTGTGGAGTCAGAGTAAAAAAATATGGACGCTCAGGAGGCTGGAAGTTGGAGGGGATTTTGCTAGGATTTGCAGGGAACTGGGCTGCCATTTGGCTAGCGTTTGACTGGGAAGGGCCATTTTGAATGGCTGCTACTGTAACGTATGTAAACGCTCAGATAACTTACCTGTAACTTAACGCCTCCTGATGAGCCTACGTACTTGCCGTATATCAACATGTGTCAATGTGTTTCAGCCTGCTCCTAACTTCTACAAAACGTACCCATAACTTATCCAACATATGCCAGCATTTTTGTCAGGTTTTTTGTATGTCAGGTATACACTGTCTAAAACGTCAAGGTGTGACAGGGGCTTGATTGTAAGTTTCTTGGATACCAAGGTGATTGTATAGTGTTGGAGCTACGAGGGAACTTCATCAATGCAGGGTCCCACGTATCAGACGGACTTGGTCTTATTTACATCTGTAGTCCAGACATTGTGTCTAAGTATAGGATGCAGATTGGTGCATGAGGAGGTTGAATTGACATGTAGACAAATTAATCAGTTGTGAACAAATATTTGAATGGCAGCCATTTATCTTGATAGATTTTAGGTTTGAAACCTAAAATCCATTGAGGTGAGGAGCAACATGGAAATGTTACTTGTGACTGTAGTTGTTGCTTGAGGTAATATTAGCCTCTATAGAGCTGCATTCAGGCTAAATAGGGTGTTATGTTTCAAAGCCACGTGTTGATAAGGTGACAGCTTCCCTGTGTGCGTACCTTGTTAGCTGCCTCCAGTGAGCTGATGAGGGAGCTCAGTTCCTCTTTGTTCAGCTCCATGGTGATGGGCCGAAGCGCTCCTTTCTCCCTCACATCCAGAGATAGGCTGAGCAGCGGCGTGTTTAAAGATGAGATCTTATCGCTGGACAAGGCCAGCTGCAGAAGGTGAAGGGAAGGAAAAGAATTGAATAAAACTCAAAAGCAGGAACATTTTTAAATAGTTTCTTTTCATAAAGGTTCTTTTTAACATCTTAACATTAGTCCTACCTAAGAAGGACTAATGTAGTTCAGTTGAAGTAGGGAAACATTCAGACACACATATTCTAATAATAGTAACAGCTATGTCTGGTTCCAGGGTGTTGAAGTCATGGTGTCACTACAATTGTGCTGAGCAGAACACGTCAGGGATAAAGACTAACTGAACGCTGAAAACCGGCTGACCTTAAGCTGCCAGTCAAAGTCCTGCAGGGTTGCAGAAGAGATGCTGTTGGTTCTGTCCAGCAGAGCACGCCGGATCTCCTCCTCTCGTGCTCTGACCACGCTCAGAACCGCTTGGCTGTGGCTGTGATCTACATCCGACAGCTTAGCCAGAACCTGCACAAAAAAGTAGGAAAAATCTGAGCTGAGGGACAAAAAACAAAACAAAAACACTGACACTCTGACCTTCTTCGCTCACCTCTTCATCTGTGATGTTGCTCCCCACCGTAGAACGGAACAGGCCACTCAAGAAGTCAAGTAGCTGCAACCACTCTTCCAGGCTCCAGGTGGCGCTATAATCACTCCTGCATGGAGGCTCTCGTCCACACAGCCCATCCACTACTCTGTGACACAGCTGAAAATATCAAAAGCAGATTGGTGCTTCCCTTTGCTGTTTTCCTTTGGCAGATTTTTCATTTGCAAAAGAAAGTTGTTTTAGTGTTTAAAATAAATGATATATACAGTCAGATTTTGCTGCTATGTGCAAGACCCAGAAGACCTGAGAGGTTTAAGTTGTTGGTTCAATGATCAGTCTTTTATTTATTTTGGAGCTAAAGCGTTCAGTGATGTATAGACTACAGATGTATTTTAATCTGTACATCTTCTGATGTACAGGGAGCCAGAGTAAGGGTGATGTGCTCCACTTTCTTGGTTCTAGTGAGGATGCAGACAGCATCATTCTGGATCAACAGCAGCTGTATGATCAGCTTTTTAGGCAGACCTGTGAACACACCGTTGCAGTTTAAAGATATGGAGACATTTAAAGCTAGGTTAGGTTACAAAACCACATAAGTTCTGAACAACTCAAAGAGCACAATTAAGTCTGTCTACGGGTGAGAGGCGGGGTCCACCCTGGACAGGTCGCCAGTCTATCGCAGGGCAATGCAGACACACACACTCACATCTAAGGAGAATTTAGAGAAACCAATTAACCTAACAGTCATGTTTTGGGACTGTGGGAGGAAGCCGGAGTACCAAGAGAGAGCCCACACATGCACAGGGAGAACATGCAAACTCCATGCAGAGAGGCTGAAAATCAAACCTGAAACATTCTTGCTGTCAGGCAGATTTTCTACCCACTGCTCCACTGAGAAGCCCCTGAATTTAAAATCAGCAGGAATATTAGTTTAAATATGTTATTTAACTAATAATACATCTAAAAGGTGCAGAAATCTGTCCGTCCAGATCTGACATTAGAAACAGGACAGTATTATTAATCCTATTTTGATTTGACATGAACTGCAGCTGAACAAAAACAATTATTTATATAGCACCGTATTAGAAACCCTCCAGAAGCCGTTTAAAACTTGAGATTAGGACTGAAAAGTAATTTTTTTATTCTCATGCCTAAAGAGCTGCTGCAGTTATTGCAGTAGTTCAGAAATAACTTTAGAGTCTCGTCATTTTAAGCATAAATCAGATTAATAATCCCTCCTGGTTTATCAAATATTAATCGTTTTTTTTTTTTTCAGAATCACGTTATTACTAAATGCTGCTCAAATTTACAAACACTCGCTAAAAAAACTAACAAAAAACTTCAATAACTAATGCTATAAAGGACAAATAACACATAAAACACACAACAATAGCGGCGAGCAATAAAAATCGTGCATTAAAAAAAAATAACACTCACTTTGACACAATCTGTTGCAGATATTCTGCCCAGAGCCTTCATCGTTGTTTTCATCCACTTCCGCCTAGCTGCTTCCGGTCAGCTGCTCTTCGTCACATGACAGAGCGAGACACGTTCACTGGCCGTTGGAAAAATCCCCTTCCACCCTTAAAGACCAGGAAAACGAAGCGTTGTTCAACTCCTGCCCGAAGAGCGGAGCTGTCTCATTGTTTAATTTTTTTTTTGACACAAAGTCACGGATGTGCAGGTGGCTAGAAACCCGAACTAAAACAGAAGAAAGATAGGAGTGTGTTCTTCTCCTGTTTTAACAGGAGTCGTTTCTTGCATCCTGCCTCCTCCTGTTGCGACTGAAGCTCCAGAAATGTGAGCGGGGAGAGACCGAGCCGTCATTAAACGTCGAATCGGGGCCGCGGATGGAAAGAAACAGTCGGGTAGGTGAGGAGGAATATGAAGTAACAGGGAACTGGTTTCTAAGAAGGACAAAAGAGTGAAGCTCTGAGGTTTGTTCGTTTAAAGCAGCAGCAACACAGCGGACCTTCTGTCACTCTGTGTCCAACTGTCCTAGAACTTAACACAGTCCCTCAACTGTGCCATAAAGCTGTGATCTTATCAGCTTTTATATATGTTTGGGTTCTTTAAGGTTCTTTAAGCTTTAGTTGAATTTGCAGCTGCAGATCTTTCTGTGTATGTTTCTACCAGAGTTGCATACCTAAAGGCTTCAATTGTTAACCCCTTAGCCAGGGGCGTCAGCTGACCCAGTACTATACAGGGGCACAATAGGGCACCAAAAAAAAAAAAGCTTTTGGGGCACTGATAATTAATGTAAGCAAATATTTTATAAATTAATGCATTGTACAGTCAGATTGTTATTATCTGCATCATTATATATCTACCTGAACCAAACTGAATTGAATTGGCCCACTGAATTTAATAGTATATCTATAATCCTCTACTAATGAAGACACAGTTTATCTTCATTAAATATCTGTCAGCAAACATGAACTTGAAAACTGAAAACTTGAAATGTGCAACTGTAAAAGGAAAAAAAAAA